ACTTCAAATAACAAAGTTATAGGCCGGACACGAATTCGGGACGTACGGACGGACTGACGGACGGACGGACGGACAACCCGACGACTATATGCTCCCCCGAAATTTTTCGGGGAGCATAAAAACGAAGAAACGGAAAAGGTTATTTCATGCAATGCGAAATTCTCCACTTCGCTATTCATTGTATATATCGAGACATTTTTTTTTAATCAAGCACCCTCATACCGATCGGAATGATCGACTTTTATTATGACCGACTAAAAGGCTCGAGAAGTTGCTGTCGCCCATTCACAAAATCTGATTTCATTCCATAAGGGCGCCGCGCTTCGGCGCGGACGCCAATAACTAATATTTTACTGTTTACTGTGCACCAACACAATTTAGGTCACATGGCACCGAGAAAGGAAAGATAAATTTGGCTAGCATCTGGTGTGACAAAAAGACAGCGAAATGAAAGTAAAATCACCATACCAGCTGGAGCTAAGAGATGCATAGACTCCAGTTATTTGAACGCGTTTACGATAACGCAGGGATAAACGGTGACTGCAAGACTAACGCTTAACCCTTAAAGGCAATCCTTCAGCCACAGGGTCAGATTTTAACAAATTGTATGCTATACTTAAAAAAAATGATAATGATAAAAAGCTCTAAATAAGATATTGAAGTAATTTACCGTCTTTATTTTCATTTAAACATGCCTTTGTCCGAATGAAGAATACAAATAATAATATTTCCTATAGCGGTGATTATTGTTTAGACTACGGTCCGCTTTTTGGTTAATGTAGACTTGAAAATAGAGCCATTTATTGGCTGAATGATAACTGTATATATTACAAGGTCATCTTCACACGAAGCCAGTGTAGACTAGACCTCCTTTTAAGATAAGCAAATCCGACATATTTGAACACGCTTTTTACGATTTGCTGAATAATATGAATAGGGCTGAAGAAAATCTTTGTTTCTTGTGACCTTTCCTTAAGGACGTTTTCGGGAGTTTTCATATAGACATATAGGCAAAATTAAAACTGTTCTATAGAATTTCTATAAACTTGGCATGTTGTTAGAATATGATAACAGAAACATTTTACGCGAAAAAATGGGGATCGTGGAATTTACTTGTATTGGTGTCAAATGGCACAGTACAAAAATACGAATTTCAATTGATATCTGAGTATATCTATAAATTATCTTTTAAATATCTTTCTATTGTAGGTGCCCCAGCAGATCTATATAAGAAATTCTAATATTATGTTTAATATGCCTGTGGACCTCGGTGGAGTTGCTTTAAAAAGAACATATCAAAATAATAATTCACGGCCTTTCTCATTCCGGGGTAGATAGAGTAAAATAATGAAGACACGTTTTATCTTGTGATTTCAGTTTTGAAGATTTGGGTCACCATATCATTACGCGGTGTTGTACGCTAAAACAGTCACACTTTGTAAAAGGTCAAATCCTTGTTTGAGTACATTTGTATTAACTAAGTAGACAGATTCTGATACATATGAAGTCAAAACTATAGATAAAATGAAGATTCTAAAACAACAACAACAACAACTACAAAAAAAACAACAAAAAACAAAAACAAAAAAATGGTGCATTCTCGGTTTGATCGGGCCAGTTTATGGACGCCCCATTATGACACACTAGGTGTTTCACTCTCTATTATCAATAAACGACTTTAAGAACAACTGATCATATGATTTTCCAATTAAGAATATTCATCATATGATTACATTTTCAACAAGCAGGGCAGCATGCTCGACTATTTGTAAAACAAGAGCCTGGACAATTAAAAATTTTCTAAGATCAAAGAGGGCCATAATTCTGTCAAAATGGTTGTTAGAGTTATGGGCATTAATCAGTGACCATCAATAAGTGCCTGGTGTTTCAGTATTTTTGAACGCCGACGCCTGAATATTTACTATTATAGTTCTTCGAAAATTCGAGCTTAATCCTACTTTGTTTCATGCATAGATTAAAAAAATACATAATTAATATGTTACAGAAATGAGCAACGCATTTCATTGACAAAACAATACCAAACCAATACAATAAAGAAAATGATTAACAATTTTACACGTGCTTTTATTGTTGATTGTTTATGTAAGAAAAACAAACAGGCCTAATTTCTGTCAATCATTACTTTAGTTAAAAATAAATATTGTTTTTAATAAAAGTATACAGGGATGTATAACATATAAAGCAATTTGTTATAGACTTACTTAATAACTTTTTAGCCATGCATAATTTGTGGTATTAATATGAAATGATTCTTAATTATTAAACAAAGTATATAATCTGATGCCTAGTCACGTGGTCGTTGATTATATACATGTATGTTTGTTAGGATAAACGACCTATAAGCCCGATGTCAAAGTGTATTTGTTAACCTTATGTATAAAGATTACAAATAACAGTAAACTTACTAAAATATACTTTATAAAAGAACTACTACAGAAATGCACTTTTGTATATATATATACTTGCAATAACTTATTTTGTTTAAGGTTCAAGTACACAATTATTATTTTTAATGTAGTAATAAGTATCCTGATCAAATGTTAAAGATTATAATATACTTGAATGATAGCGACGTGATCTTAACGCTATGGTCCAGAGTTAAATATTAGCATACTAAATGCAAAACGTCTTTAGTTTAAACATATTTATTCCCGAAAGTATATATAATGTACATACATACAAATATATAACAAACAAAACATTTTACACAATGGAAAAGGATGAGAATGAAAGACAAGTCTTATAGAAGTCTTTCCTTATTTGTATGTAATATTGATGTCAAAGGTCATAATAACGACAATGTAGCTATATTGATTTAGGCGTAATCCTTGCATTATTTCAAGCACAAACGGACACCTGAGTAAAACGACCGGCCTTTCTGTAACCCAGATGTGTTTTCTTATCCAAAATCCCTTTAAAGAGTCGATCCGAAAGCTTTGAAGGAATGGGTCAGGGTTGGGAGGGGGGCTGGTGATTTGAAGTCAGCCACCTTTACCACTTGGCCTCGAAGGCACCATTGACCTTGCTTGAAAAAAATCTTTTTTACTGGTAGTGGTTCGTCATAAATTTGGGTAAATTGTATGCGTCACTAACAAGTTATGTACTTGACACTTACTATAGTTCTAATTTTTTGTTTTTAATAATACCATTTTTTCTTCGATGTATTTATTCTTTTTTTTCGAAATTCATACGAAAAGAACTCATCATCCCTTGTGGGGTCACGTTTTATTTTCATATTACACATTTTGTAAAAAAGGAAAAAATAGAAAATAATCTCTTACAACGGGCATATATGCAGTTGATATTAAAGATGTTCATATTACACGTTTTCTGAACTAACTTAAGATATTATCATACAATGTACACTAACATTTCTCTCCGACGTTTAAGATTATTCTACATCATATTACTTGCAGTAGTGTCATATTTCAATATGTACATTATTATGTATAAAAAGATAGGCTTAAAACTCGCGACTTGATGTATTTTATATTCAAATCTCATTTAATCGAACAATGAAACCAGGAAATTATGTTAAACACTTACCTAAAACTCCAGTCCTATAAATAGCATGAAATTATTGTCTTTACTTCCACTTTCTTTTTCAAAACATGTAGTTTGTGAATTATTCAAACTGAAATCTGACCGAGTTACATTTAAAAGAACGCTATCTCGTTCACTATTATCATTACTTTACCACGTGGCCTATTTATGAAAGACCCGCACTGACATTTCAACTGTTCATCTTCACGATACAGAATTCACGAATTCATGATGAGGAAATTTTGAATTTGGTCGCGATGTTGAAATGCATTGTGAAGTTCAAAACATGATTTCAAGAAGTTGAATAAATGAAGTTGAAATCGTGTTTTTGTGAAGTTGAAATCGTGAATTCGTGAAGTTCAAAACGTGAATTCGTGAGTCGCGAGTTCGTGAAGTTGAAATCGTGAATTCATGAAGTTGAAATCGTGAAGTCGTGAAGTTGAAATAGTAAATTCGTGAAGTTGAAATCGAAAATTCATGAAGTTGAAAACGCGAGTTCTTGAATTCCATATGTTGAAAACCTGAATTCACGAACTGTGAATTGACGAAGGTGAAATCGGAAATTCATGCAGTTGAAATGTCCCTACCGGTCTTTCGTACTTATTTGTATTCCTTGTAGGTTAATAAGATAAAACAAACGTTTAATCCAGGACAGGGATACATCGGTATTACACAAGTTTCGTGCATGCGATTTCCCCTAAAACAAAACGGTTTTTTCCGTGTTTGCACGTCCAAATCATGAGAAATGCAGGACGTGCTAAATCTTTTTATATATAATCAAGGTGAGCAATCATAGCAACGAGACGCTCTATGAAATATTTAGAGATATGAACATAATACTATGATGCCCTGCTGAGCATTATACATGTATAAACTACTGTCATACAGATATGATAAAGCTGATCATAAATATGAAAAATATTCTTCCCCTTAGATATCAATGAAACGACAGAATATCATTTTATCTATTTTAAACATTTTATAACAGACTTACGCCTGGTCTGACAATACGGAAGTGTGTGACTATAGTCTGTTCCTATCCCCGTGAAAATGGCAGCCTATCGCTGTAGATATAGCACAATTGGGCATGAAAAGGTACGTTCCAGATAGGTAAAATAATGTTTTGAAAAATACATGTACAGTATATTAATTCAAAATGAATGTGTCACTTTGGATGTAATTTTTGTAAATAATTATTCCTGTAATTTATTGAAAAGATATTAAATAAAATAACTGGAACAAAAAAAAAAAAAAAAAAAAAAAAAAAAAAAACAATAAAAAAAACCGAAATGAAGAAATGAAAAGTAAAATATACGGAAAAATACTGCTTTAAGTTACCCCATTTTATGATTTAAAATGTTGTGGTTTGAAGTGCATTAGTAAGATATTTAAAGATGCAAATGTTATTAAAAATATATAAAGTCAAATATACTTACCTTCATATTGGAGCCTCCATTCTCCATTCCGTAAAAGTGATAATAATTTCCGGAGAAGACCTTTAAAATATTTCAATACATATGTTTTACGGCTACACTGTCATTATTTGATCTGTTTACGAAAAAACATCCACTTAAAGATTTCTTGAATCTGGGACTTAAATGTGTATCTTTCTGTCCCAGCTTGAATTAATGTGACAAAACAGTTTTATGTTCTAAAGGTAAAAATATGACTTGTTGTATCTAATGTTTCACAATTATAAATGCACAATGTGCCCCCTTCTGTTTGGGGGGGGGGGGGGGTTGAAGGGGGGCGGAGTCCCCCTCATCGCCAAGAATATTTTGGACTTGTGAGAGGCTTAAAATGACCCCAGGTCGATCATAAGGTAACGTGTAACCAACGCGAAAAGCCTTTGACTCCATCTCAATCCCTTTGAGAAGTTGCAGCACTTTGAAATAAATTTTGATGGAAAAAATCGAGGCAAAATAGTGATTTTTGGCAATTTTGAGATGTCTCCTCCTTGCCATGGTAACATGAAATTTAAGACTGAGCATGTCGTTACAAAGGCAATGGTCAAGTCAACATTTGTGCCAAGTTTGATTAGTATTGAAGCATTTTTCATAGTTTCTTAGCAGTTTGAACTTGTAAGAGGAGGCTTTTCAGTGAAAATGGCCATTTTTCACAATATACTCATGGGGGAAAGGGTTAAAGGATATATAAACAGAATAAAATACTTAGAGAAAACTTTTTTATTTCACCATTTTTGTGAAGTTGGCGGCCTAGCGGCCTTTAATTTTTATGTTGCAGACGTTTGTCAAAGAAAATACACTTTTATGGCTCATACAAATTGAAAAATCAGGATCCACAGATCTATACAAGTACAAATGTATAAACAATGGAACATCTTAGAGAGGCAACGGAAAATGAGACCTTCTATCTACGGCCAGGACGTTTTCTGCGAGAAGAGAACGAAAAGCGCAAAACACGACAGTACGATGTTGAAAGTATGATAGTGACAGTACGACAATACGATGGCGAAGCACAACATTACGATGGCGATAGTCCATCGTACTGCCGCCATCGTACTGTTGTACTGACAACATCGTTACAAACATACGTAGACTACGGATCAATGCGAGATAAGTTAAAAGCAACATGACGGGGTTACCTAACTGTATTTGTCTCCCTGTGACTTCCTTACTTATATCCAAAGTTATCAGACGAGTATAATAAAATTATGCTGTAATGTGTTAAGCACTCTTTTATAAATACTTAAAATGGCATTTAAAAATATGACTATAATTATGTAATACAAATGAATACATACTTACATGTAAATACCAAAAATATATAAGAATTAGTATCATAGTTTATAATTTTTATAAGTCGGTGATGATATTTCAGATATCTAATCTCGTATTGGTGTTGTTATGTTTGGAATTTTATCATTTTATTGGTGTTGTTGTACCAAACAATCGTAACTGACACCAATTAATTGATATAAATGCGTTTTCTATTTCAATACGTTGAAAAACCAGGAAATTCTTTTTTAACAATTTACAAAATGGACGTACGGATTTACGATATTATAAAAGTGAAAAGAAAACCAGCCAAGATTAAAATAAAGTTGTAATGTGATTTGCTCTTGGATTCATTAAGAAAAACAACAACAACAACAACAACAACAACAACAACAACAAAATAGCAAGGGATCCCAGTAAAATGCTCGCTTTTTGGACTTGCGATTTTTCCTATCTGTATATCAACAACAATAACAACTTTATCTGGACTAAAATTGTCAAAAAGGTGTTATTTTTAAAAATTGATGATGAAATCTGAACACCATTACAACAAACAAAAAGGAGTGGAATGCGAATACAAACAATGATATACTGCATTTATTGAAAGAGCCATACATATGATTGGTGTTAAGACCTTACTTCGATAAACAAACCTCAAACATTAGTTATGATGTCTTGTTAAGCCATTTTTATTATATATACACGAATTCAATTAAAAAAACATACGACTTAAAATCTATTTATAAATGTGTGGATTTCAACCCCAGATATGTATTGTAGCTCAAAATCTTACAAATTACATCTCAATATCACAATGTGGACATTAAGCAAAAAACTTACGAAATTGCTTATAATTGTCGAGAAAATAAATTAAACCTTCTTAATTTAAAGCGAGACACAGGCAAAATTTTCATTTCTTCGTTTTGAATTTTTCATTCATTAATCTGTAAATGTCCTCAAAATGAATACACTAGGCAGTCACTGGAACAAAACTTTTCTCCTTGGTGGTTTCCTAAGTTGACCCACGTGGGCCAGGTTAGAGCGTAAAGATTTCACATTTGTCGTCACAGTGAACTCTAGAAACGTTAAAGTCGTCAAATGAACGAATTAGGTTTGTTTCAATCATACAATATCCACACTATCTGTTATTGTAACTTCAAGTGTTTGTTCAAGTCATATGACTAGTATTAAAACTACTCGGTGATTCTGTCGGCGGCGATATTTCGTCCAACATATATAGATATATTTACGCTTCAAACCAAAAATAAATATAATTGATACAGAAAATCATGCTGGGACTTTGTTTTGATTTGAGTAAATTAGATATTTTTTATTTTGGTCATTAATTTTAAGTACCCCATAAAGTATTATTTTACTTTGTTTACTGCTTTTAAGGCTATTTGATTTTAGACGGGTTTGATTTTCAGAAAAGACCCTCTGTTAAGAGTCTTACGGAATTTTTTAGTACAAGCAGGTAGTCAATTGTTTTTACACAATTCGGATACGCTGAAACGCTGAATCCATTTTTTGCTCTACCCCGGCAGTAGTCGAAATCAAAATGGCCACCATTGACCTTTACCATTTACTTCATAATTTAGTATTTCTGTGTTTATAGCGTATTATATGTTCATTCATCTACATGGAATTAAGTTTCAATTACTTTTAGGCATTACTAAAAACAATCAAACATGATTTACACATTGACTACTATGGCGGTCTTCTTTAATCTCAAAATGGTCATCTAATTTAACAAATATAAGTAAAGTCCTTCTGTAAGAATAATTATAAAAATATAATAATGATATAAGCAACATGTCATGAAGAATTATAAGTTTTCTGCACAGTTAAATTTTTATTATATGAACCAGACGACTTTTTACGGCCGCCAGACGGCACAAATAACATAGACATTATCATAAAATAGAGTGAAAAACAAACAAACACACACAAAAAAAAACAACAAAATACAAGTCCCTTTAAATTATAAACTTTTAACCCAGGCAAGCAGTCGTGCGAGGCGGCGTTCAACTGGCCTTTATCTCCTTCTCTGTGACAAAGAGCATTAAATAAATGTATGGTTTAATCAAGTAATCCCTCAAACATTTCAACAATATAAGTTAGAGAGGTAACTGGATTAGAAGTCATCGACTCTAACCCCTCGACTACGGAGGAGGACTAAAACGGTAATGCCAGTACTATCACATGTAAATGCAAGTAAACCAAAAAGAATGCATTGTATATAACAATTTCGTATATCAAGACACCAAACTTAAGATGAAATTACATTTTGTTTATTTTGTAGCGCTTTAAGAAATACCAACTTTGCACTTTAAAGGTCATATGGCTATTGTCCAGATATATTGGTAAAGGAACACCTCAGGTGTACCATGATGAAAGGCCTTTGAGGTCCAACTGTAAAAGGGTTAAACACTATGCATGTAGTATCTCTTAAAATAGAAGTGTTCACGATGATACGCCTTTGTGAGGGTTCTTATCGCAAGTTGACCCACGGTGATAGCCTCAGAGAATATAGTAAACTGTGATAGACGTTTAGAGGGTTCTTTTCAACCCACGGGAATATCCTCAGGTAATGCAGTTAAACACACACAAACCACGGTGAAAGGCCTTTAAGAGTTTTTTCACAAGTTGACCCACTTTCATAGCCACATGGAATGCAGTTAGGCACACACAACCCATTGGTTGAGAGATTTTATCATTAGATGACCCACTGTAATAGCTTCCGGGAAGGTAGTAAAACACAAACAACCCACGGTGATAGGCCTTGGGTAGGATTCTTATCTAAGTTGACCCACAGTGATAACCACATGAAACTCACAACCAACGATGATAGGAATTTTAAAGGTACTCATCACAAGTTTAACAACTGCAATAGCGTCAGGAAATGCAATGAAACACACACACAACCCACGGTGATAGGCCCTCTAGATGATTCTTATCGCACGTTAGCACATGATGATAGCCACTGGGAATGCAGCAGAGCTAACAAAATCCAAGGTGATAGGCCTTGTAGAGGTTTCTTACTGCGAATTAACCCACGATGAATGCAGTAAAACACACACACACACGCACGCACGCACGCGCGCGCGCACGCACACACACACACACATCCCATGGTTATAGGCATTATCACAATTTGACCCAAATGTCATAGCGTCAGGAAATGTAGTTAAACATACACCCAAGGTGAAAGGCCTTTAAGGTAGACCATGGGTAATGCATTACCTCCACTTTGAAGAGTATTCAAATACTAGTAGGCTAGAATCACATTTTGTTTAGAAACAAACATTTTGCTTGTGTAATGTGTTACCTGAATGTTATTATTTGTTTCTTAACAATGAGCAATAGAAAAACATTTTTTATAATGATGATATTACAGATTATTTACAGTTTCCTCATTTCTGAAAATAAGTCCTTCTAATGGCAAAGTCTTAGTTCAGAAATATATCCATAACTCATAAACCACACGGTAAATTTTATTTAAATTTTGCATACAGGTGACCTTGAAGACATATAACTGTCCTATGTTGTCAATTTTACAGTTCCTCATGGTGCCCATTACCCATGGTCTACCTTAAGAAGGTTCTTATCGCAAGTTGCCACATAGTGATAGCCACTGGGAATGCAGTAAAACAAACACAACCTACAGTGATAGGTTTTTTGAGGGCACACGTATTTTTTTACTTGGGGACCATATGCCGCTTTTCATGGAATGGCGCTTACGTGTCACATTGAAGGTTCCGTGATTACTTCAAAATTGTACCAGTTCATGTTAAATGTTGAATTCTGCTTAAGCCGGTGCTATGGGGCGTGGACGGTAACCTTTTTTGGCACTCTCGAGTACCGTCCATGAACAGGCTCAATGAA